AGTTCAGGTGTTTGTGTTCAACATGTAAGAAGTAGAAAGTTCAGGTATTTGGGTTCAACATGTGAGAAGTAGAAAGTACAGGTATTTGTGTTCAACATGTAAGAAGTAGAAAGTTCAGGTATTTGGGTTCGAAGTAGAAAGTACAGGTATTTGGGTTCAAAATGTAAGAAGTCAAACTAAAAAGTCGTCAGAAGAATAAGTAGTGGAGTAAAGTACTGATACCAGAAAAATGTACTTAAGTAACAAAGTATTTGTACTCCACTACTTCCCACCTCTGTGAAATGATAGTTGCATTAATAAGTAACAATGTGCTGTGGGCTATTTTGGTCAAATTCTAATAGGCTATTTTATGTAAATAAGAAAAAATGGCCTCCCTAATCATCCGGCACCTGCCTCAGAGTTGGATGCCTTATGTTTTATTCAACTGGACTATTTTGAATTGTGCTTCCAATGCAGGGAAAGATTCAGCCTACACAGCATTACATTACCACTGTTTAGCGTGCCTCTAATCTAAGCCTTTTCAGGAACAGAGAAAAATAGCTTCGATTTTTCTTTTGTGTGTGTTCTTTAGGTTTAAAAAAAAGTTTTAATAACTTAAGTTTTCCCAACCCAGGTTTTAATTCTTACACTTAAATTATTCAAGTTAAAACAAAAAAAAAGCCAGTTTTCACCTGGGATTACAAGAATTAACTGACATTCAAGGAAGTAGATTAGGATGTATTTTCAGATCAAAGCAGCTGCTAAAAGCTGAAAATATCCCCTGTGCAAATGAAAGTGGAGGATCATCAAAGTGAATAAAAACCTTAGATTCACGGACAAAAGTGTTGAATTTCATAGAGACAAAACCCTTTTCTGAATGAGAACACATATTAGAGTGATGCCTGCTTCTTTTAATACTGGGGAATCGACCACAAGGAGTAGCATGACATCAGTCTGAAAAATGCATTCACAGAATGACAACAAACATCATTCGTCAGAATAGAACCGGCAGCTATTTAGCTATTTATACAGAAAAATAAATACCAGCAATGTGAGGATTCTCATTCAAAAACCAAGCAGTGCTTAACAGTAGGCTCTTAAAGTCTGAACTCATCTTTCCACAGGCACAAAGCAAAAGAAACATTTCTTCTGTTGGAATTTCAACACTTCATGTTTCCTAAATAAATGATGACTTGGCATGCTACATTAAAAATAAAGAAGATCCTCAGTAATAGAGATGTCTGGTCAGAGAATAGAGCCATGAAAGGAGAAGCATGCAGGATAAAAACAGCAAAATACAACTTGCATCAAAGCAGATTCTCAGGGAAATAATATAATATTTATACGCTGCTGTCAGATGACGAGATTCATTACTCCAATGTTGGTATTATTCTTCTGATTCTTTTGTTTTCACTGACAGTCTAAGAACCGGGAACAAAAACTGATTTAACGTTAGCCAGGCTTTTAGTCTCCGCTGTCAGCATACAGTCTCTGGGAAAATGAGATCTTTATCTGACAGCAGCGTTTTACTGTGTGTGCTACATTCACAGCACAGCAAGAGGATGGATCATCTATCAATGCACTGGTACAAGACAGGACTGTATACTGAGAACAACACCACAGCAATAACTACAGGACAGTTACTGATATTCCGGTAAACATGACAAAAATATAACATTGATCAAAGTCCTTTCTAATCATAACTGTCCACACAGTCATTTCAGCGCTCGGAAAAATGGTTTGCTTTTGTCATCATGCTTCAGACGGGCACCACGAATCAACAATATTATATCTGACATCAAAATGGGTCCTATTATTATTGGTCCATTGAAATGTGTTTCAAAATAACATGATGTACAATAAAAAGCTTCTCAGGCAAAGAAGACAGAAGCTGTCTGGTTTACATTCTTGGCGAGAACAGCACCTCTTATATGTTTGTTTTTTTACAGAAAATAAAAATGTAGACAGCCATTACGATTGTGCAATGAAATTATAAACTCCACTGACTTTAGCATTCCACGAAGAAAATACAATTTTGTGGATATTTTTTAATATATATAGTAAGTTTAACAGTAACACTTTTGGCCAATACAGAATCATAATGCAGAGATTGTACATTTATTTTCATACAAAGACATTCCATTCACATTGGTCTTCACATTCATGTAAGTTGGGTGGGGGTGCTGTTGCAGGATGTGTCCACTGTGTGGCAGCATGGAGGGATCCTGGCTTGTGTTCAGTGCATTTCTCTTCAGTTTGAGGGCTGTAAAACTGACATACTGTAGCACATTCTGTGTCAGGGCCCCACAGACGCTGATTTAGCTTCGTGCACACCAGCCGTAGGAGGGATTCTAAAATAGAGAGCTGCAGACTGGCCTGTTGAACAGAATCAAACTTCAGTCCATGGCTCCTGCATGGATTGGGAGACAATGACTAATACATCCAGGAATGAAAGCATCACAAAAACATCGGCACTGTGTCGCAGAGAGCCCTGAGTCACTGTGTAATCTTAATTAAAACGTGCCTTAAAGTGGTGATTACAATCTGTGCAAGTGCCTGTGTCAAAATAAAGTTTCAATACCTTTTTGTTATATTATAAACAAATATTTATGCATGATCAAATTGCAACAAACTAATTGCTAATTTAGCGTCCGGGGTCTATGTTGATCTGGTATGCCTGTTTTGTGCCATGTGCCAACATATTTGTATTAATAATGACGACGTAAAGATAGTTCTTCATTATGAAGACAAATGACGACAAGAAAGAAGAACATTTTCCCAGGTTAACTCCCAATTCCATTGCCTTTTTTTATGGTTAAATACTGATTCATTTCACATCTGTAGGCCTTTACAAATTATTCAAATACAGCAATGTGAGAATTGTTCTTTTATTAAACTTCTCACAACTCATATTAATATGCATTTCATTTCATTTCATTTCAAACCTCTATTTAACCAGATTGGCAAACTTTGCTGAAAGGTTACAGTATAAGAAGGCTTTGCCGTGTCTTAATGGGTCCCATGCAAAACATGTCAGAGGATGACATTCAGGTATTTCCTGCTCAGCTTCTCTTTATTGATGGATTCATTAAAATAAATTAAGAATTGGTGGACAATTCCAGGAGTACATTTATTTTCTTTCTTGCCAGGAATAACCACGTTCTGTTAAACCTATATCCAAACTATAAAATGCATGTTTTATTATGCATTGATTTATGTTATGCATGTAGGATGCATGTTGGGTAATATGTTATTTTTTACATTTTATTTGATCATATTGTTTCAAGTTTGTTTTATTCTCCCACTTATTGTACCTTAATTAAGGCATTTTCTCCCTGTATGTGCTCAGTCTGTCTATTTTTCTATTTTGTGCTGCATTATTATTCTTATATGATTATTATTCACAGTCATGCTCGGCAATCAAAAAGCAGATGTTCATAAAATGTGACTGATGATCACATTTTTCTCCATGCAAAATATTTTTCACACTAAGCACATCAATAACAATCATAGTTTGAATGCAGTCAGTGTAAGAATAGCATTGAAAGTGAGCAGCGCTCTCTCACCTGGTTATAGGTGGACATCAAACACTCCTTCCTCCAAGGTCTCTAAATCCTCTTCAGCAATTACTGAAACAGCGTAAGCAAGAATAGATTAGTCAATGAAATTAAAATGCAAATCACTGCCTACAGCTGATGAGAGTGTGTGGCTGCTGTGTGTTTACTCTGCCAGTTCCCTTGGCCGGCTCATTGGTCGAGGAGGTTCACACTGATATTAAACAAAGCCAGACAGGGCAGCACTTTTACTTATTGCTGATGAAAACACCGCCCGGGTCAATGAGCCAATCACATTTCCATTGCAAATTACACCTTTGAGTGAGAAAATCTTCCAAATGTCAGAGCTCTATACGCTAAGAGCAAAGCACCCTTTGAAAAGTGGAGGTGTTGCAGCGGTGACATGCAGTGCTGAGAATGTGATAAAACAATCCTCTGAGATATACTTTTCTGAAAGGGTTAGGGAGCCTGCATTACACTGTACATTAGATTGTTTTCAACTTTATAATGACAGTGGTGGAAAGTAACTAAGTACATTTACTCAAGTACCATATTTTAGGGTATTTTACTTGAACATTTAAATGTTTTGATACATTGCACTACAATTAGGAGGTAAATCAATCATTTAAAATACAATCAGCACTTAAATAAGACTTTAGTAACACCTGGATTAACATTTACAAGCTACCCTGCACAATACAAAGTCCTCAAAATATAACTATAATCAAAACATATCATATATATTATTCTGAAATGGGCCAATCTGCATACTGAGTACTTTTGGTACTTTAAGTATATTATGATGCTAATACTTTTGTACTTTTACTTGAGTAACATTTTGAATGTAGGACTTTTACTGAAACAGAGTATTCCTACACTCTAGTACTTCTACGTTTACTTAAGTACAATAACTGATTCTTTCATCTCTGTATAAAGAGCATCATAGTAAATGTTGTGTGTTTTTTAAAATCAAGAAAACGAATGAAACTATTCCATGCTGCATGTAGGCCTAGGGCTGGTTTATTTTACGATTCAGTGTGAAGAGCCAATGTTTACCAAACCAAATCAAATCCATATAAAGAGTACATAAAACATATCTTGTCCTAACAGCAGCTCACCTGAGTGCTGCAGGCTGGGTGGAGTGTTGGCAGGTGGGGGGAAGCTGTAGGATCTGGCCTGGAGGGCGGGAGGCGTCTCGTGGCTGATGCTCTTCGTCCTTTTCCTGCACTCCACGGCCAGGCGGCTCCGACAGGCCTTGTGGCAGTTCACCCCACAGGCTGCAGGAGGAGGGGGGGCAAGGAGAGGGGACAAGGAGAGGTGGAGAGGAAGGGAGAGACATGGGGTGAGGTGCAAAAAGAAACATTAGGGTAACCGGAAGAGGGAATGATCTTCTACACGACATGCAGACACACAAACACTGGCACGCACATGCACTGAGGCCAACTGTGCCTGAACACAACTCTGTCAACCCGGGGGAGTCTGAGAGGAGAGGAGCGTGAGCAAGGCATCCCATACACATGTAAGTAGCCACACACACATCACTGTAGTTTAGTTTGGACACAGCGACCAAAATCACCTTTTCCCACTTTTAGAGACATTCTACAAAGCTGTTTTTAAGCTCTTTAAAATCACACTGTACATGTATATTCAATCTAATATTTAATATTCCATTCCTCACATACTTAGATATATAATATCCTGCTTTATATTTTGTTACTGTACATTTGTATTTCAACATGTACTGTATGTTATTTTATTTCTATTGAGATGTTTCAATAAAGTACCTCTTGTCTTATCTTATCCCTCGACTCTTAGATTTAGTTAAAAAGACAACATCCATGTTTCCTTTGATGAGGAGGTTGATTATTTCTCTTTGCATCTTCATTAACCGTCTACCTTGAACTGTTGAGATAGAGGCAATTTAAAAACCTCTCTTTTAAATTGTTCACTGCACTATTTTCTCTTGTTTTGTTGCTCTGACTTTGCTGTGTTATTCTTACTTTGGCAGCCGCCTACTCAGGCCAGAGAACAACCAGGGCTGGGAGGATAATACTTAAAATGTCCACAAAACAGGGGGTGTTTTAGGCTTACAGGAATAGTTGTACATGTTGGGAGGAAGACTTGTTTTTTGAGAGTTACACAAGAAAATGTATACCACTGTCAAGAAAATGTAGCTAAACCCAGCAACTGAATAGCATAGCTTAGCATGAAGATTCAAACTGAGGGGAAGAGCAGGTACTCATTTAACAAATATAAAAAGTGGTTTTGATCGTCTCTTAGTGACACAGTGAATATTCCTAATCTTGAGCTATTCATTTCAATAGAGAGGATCAAAAATAGGAGTGTAATATCCAATATAAACTTGGATTCAAAGACAGTGAGAGCCTCTCATATCTCATTCTTAATAAAGTCTACAGCCCCAAAACACACATCCAACAATACACACAGCTCAGAGGTCTCAACACACTCCACTCCTGCACTGCGTATAGGGTGATTAATTTCAATGATGTCTCTGCCACTCTCTCTACCTCCCTCAGTACAGGCTAACAATGCTAATGGGGATGAATGGCTAGGGGGGGCTCTGTCATTGACTTCCTATGGTCTCATTAATGCGCTGGTACAAGCCAGAACACTCCCAGTCCGACTCTGAGACATGCACTCCTCCAGAGAGGAGAGGGGATGGCAGGGTGTAGCGTGTGGGGGTGTGAGTGTGTAAAGTGCTGCTGCTTGTTCTCTTCTCACCTCCATGCTATGTTTCACTCCTTGTGTCACAACAGCAGCAGTCTTTTAATTACTGCGTTCAAAGCACCAAAAATCTAAATTTGAACTACAAGTAAAAAATAAGCAACCCTTTTAAGTCGAACATGTCCTGGTAATTAAGAAATGAGGCGGGGAAAGAACAAGAATCTATTGTTTGTCTTTCTAAACACAAGACACAGAGTGCTAGTAACAGACCACAAGACCTCAAAGAGCATTAATTAACCTTGTTGCTATGCAACTCATATGTTTGATGGTAACTTGCAAGCTTTTTAATAACCTTTAGCCAACCTTAAGAGCACCGGACTGAAAGGGGAATCTGTTAATGCCTAGAATAAGAGAGAGTAATTCAAATGCCTGTTTGAAGAGAAGAATAGGGTGACTGCAGGTCCAGTTTCATGGGCTACTTTTTCATTGAAAGCAAGAAGGGAGCAGGGACACACAGTAACACAGAGCCCAAACAAATCCTGCCTGCAAATGATCCTCCCTCTCGAGCTTCTTCCATTCATAAAGCTGAGCTGTAATCAATCACTTCTCAAATGATTCCAGCAGATGGAAACCTGCATTATTTGCATTTTAGATTTGGCACCGTTTCCAACGTTTTTTGCACGGCATCTGGGTGGAAACATATGCAGTGTTAGTTATTTATTGCGCTGAACGTCTGCAGATGATCACTACTTAATCTTTTACCGTCAGCACACACACCACCGGTGGCACATCAGGGAAAAGAAGCAGGCTGTTAGAGTGAGGATAATGAGAAGAAGGTGTCGGAGGTGGCCAGTGTGTGTACATTTGTGAAATTAACCAGCTTCTTCAAACACCTATTGGGAGCCAGGAAAGGGGACATAATATGGCATTGTGTGTATTGTGGTCCCAGCTGATGGAAGCTTATCTGTTTTTCAGTCAACCAAGCTTTCTATGTGGACATATATTTAAAGGCTGTGATTTATTTGCCATGGTTTCTGTGTCGTTGACATTTACCCAGCTCTTCAACCCTGTGGATCCATATCTACAGAGGGTGTGTGATGGTTTGGAATCGATGGATTCAAAAAGAATCACTAATTATTTGAAGGCTTCACTGGTGAGGGTGCAGCAGAGTCAAATCTAAATGTGTTGCTCTCTTACCTTTACACTTGTAGCCTTGCTTGTAGAAGCCCCATATCTGCAGAAAGACAGGAATACAAGGGTAATGGTGTGGAGTGTTAATTAGGATGTGATTTAATTCCCATTTGGGCAAGAGGAATGCTAAAATCCTGAGAGATATGAGCCAGGAAAAGCTAGATGAACTTCACTAAAGGGAGAAAATCTACAAGACTTAAAATGTACAATGTGGCATACTTGGGCTGATGTGATTTGAACTTTTAGATAGCTAAAGTCTTTACAACAAACATTCATTTTCTCTCAGCCGCCTTCGAATGCTTCACCAAGGCTCTAAACTGTGGTACAAAGTGAAATGAATTATGGGAAACCAATAACTGCCTGGAAGCAAATGTATATAAAAACGTGGAAGTGGTTGACCTAAAGAGGAAGTATGCACAATTGGCGGTTAATGGGCTAAAACTTGTTAAAACGCCCATACAGTTCACATCTTGATGCACCTCATTGATGCTGAAGCGAAAGGATGGAGGAAAATGGAGGGGAAAGAAAAGGGCGAGAGCTAGAGAGGAGGTTGGCGGGACAGAGGGGGTGGAGGGGGGGGTTGGAAAGGGGGGATGTGTGACAGAGGAGTTGATAGGTATTGATGATGTGCGGCGATGGGACACAAGGGAGAAAAGCCAGCGAGGGATGAAGGGAGTCCAGAGCCAGGCTTAAGGTGGGGGACGGTTGACATGAGCAGAGCCGCCTGGAGCTCATCACACGGAGGGGGAGGCTGACGGCTGATGGCTCACCCTGATGGTTCCAACAGGTCAGGCTCAAACCCGTCCCCAAACAGACATCCCAACATGTGTTTTTTCTCCCGTCTAACTTTTTGACCCAGCAGTATGTCTACAATCACCTCGGAGGAATTGGAGGAGATGCTATTGTGTGGTTTGTGTTGGCCAGCTTCTTTACATTCCAGTAGTGCTACATTCTTGTTCAGAACACAAGTCATAGGTAAGTAGTCTTCACTGAAAAAACGGAAACGTTGACTTTATTTAAATGTATTGTCAACAGATTTCACATAGCTGTGTTAGGTAAGTTTAAATTAATAATATTAAGTTTAAATAAATATTAGGTTCAACTTAATATTATTGCTTTCAAATAACCCAATAAAGTCAACCAAGATAAAAATATAAACTCCATTTTCTGGCCTACACATATCAATCAACTATTTGGAAGAAAGCAAGAAAATGTGTCCAAATATATACAACTACCCCTTTAACTATTTTCAATGCTCACTTATCATATTCATAAAAGAAAATGTATATAATTATTGGTAGTAAACTTTATTTATTATAGAAATAGTCCCCAATAAACAAGTTATTGGTTTACTTTTTAAACACTGCCATTGGTATTTAAGATCTGAATGAATTTGTGCAGTGAATTACCAAGAAACTTGGCTGCATCGATGAGATGAATCAGAAACAAAGTATCAATTTAGCTGGTGATAATGTCTGTTCTGTCTTTACCTCTGCATTTCTACATCTCTCAGAACTTTACACGGGAGAAACAGAAGAGTAAGAAAGTCAGTGTGTATGTGTTTGAGGTGGTATCTGTGGGTCTATATCTACATGTGTGTTGATACTAAAGTTGCGTGTAGTGTTGTTTTCAAATGTGTGACTGGATGTGTGTGTAATATTTGTGTAAATGTGAACTGCTGTGTGTGTGTGTGTGTGTGTGTGTGTGTGTGTGTGTGTGTGTGTGTGTGTGTGTGTGTGTGTGTGTGTGTGTGTGTGTGTGTGTGTGTGTGTGTGTGTGTGTGTGTGTGTGTGTGTGTGTGTGTGTGTGTGTGTGTGAGCCCTGAGAACTTGGCAGTGTGTCAGCAGTGTTCTCCAGCAGTGAGGGGGAGCTGCTGTGTTTCTCTGTGCTGGATCCCCTTTCAGCCTGACACAATCCCACAATCAGCAGCGTAACCCGGCGTGCTCTCATACCCACCTGATCTCTGTTCCAGCACACCGGGATCTGGCGGCTGTCAGCGTCTGCAGCGGTGCTCTAGCTCACTCCACAGCACTGGGCTTGGTTGGAAAGGAGCCTACATTTGTCTATTTTTACAGAAACAACATTGTAATACACCCCGGTTTCCAGATCCTATAAATCTGTGATCACTTATATCACAATCAAAGGCTTGGTTTATTTTTTTCTAGCTCCTTTTTGTGGTCTCAGGGCATTCAGATCAGCAGTTTTTACTGTGAAAAAACTGAAACGTTGACTTTAATTAAATGTAATATGTGACCTGCTCTATCGAAATCAGTCGCATTGTCCCGAAGACACATTTTGAGTTGTATACACTGCTGGAAAGAGGATATTCCTAGCTTTCTAATGATATCAGGATTGTTTTTGTACTCCAAATATTAAGCGAAATATGTCACATTATATAATGACTGTCACCGAGTCATCATTTTGAGAAAAAGGCCTTTAAAGTTTTCTCTTCTCTGGAATCCCTCGATCAAATTGATTATTAGCAAATGATCAAAATACTACGGAGGGAAGATATTTTCGTTTGGATTGCTGGTCTGGGAGAAGCTCGCGAGTGTGTGTGTGTATACGTGTGTGTGTGTTTGTGTAATTTTGCGTTTGTGTGTATTGCGTTTGTTTCCCGGGGGAAACCCTCACGAGAAACACCGGCTGTTGTTATGCCTGCTGTGACGTTAAGTTACTCCGTTCTCCGCTTGTAATTATGCCGTTACAAGCTTCAAAGTTGTATTTATCATCTGAATTTGCCGAAACAAGTTTAATATTCTGAAAGCCAAGACTTTGTTTTAATTGAAATCAGATGAAAACAAACTGTAACGGACCCTGCCGTGTTATTTATGATTACTCTACGCTTACATTCATAATGTCAGCCGGAGGGAGGGGGAGCGGCGCTGCGGAAGAGCAGATTGCCTGTCATCTTCCCTTTACCAA